ACACACTTTATCTTTCTGCTTTCTTCCTGTTCTGGAGCTGTCCCAACTTCAGCAGCTTCATTAGCTGTGAAATTACCGGAAAAAAGGGGCTATTCCTGGATCTTTCAGGAACTTTGCGGTGTCCCTAAGGTCAGCAGGAAGTGCCCTTCTCAATCACTGTCTCTGCGGGACGGTTTAGGTCCAAATGGACCATCCAGCAGCAGAAATTCAACTGCGATCTCAGAGCACCGAGATCGCATGTCGGGCTGTCGTGCCATCAGCTCTCCTTTGACATTTCAGAGCACTTTTTAAGCATTGGTCTGATCTGCTGAGTATTTCAAGCAAGGCCTCATCATCAGTTATTGTTAGGAAAACTCACCAACTGGCTGACAGCACTGAAAGCTGGAGCAGAACTAAACAGACACAGCCTCTTTTGGCTGATGTCTTAGTTTCAAGAAGAACTAGAGACTAGCATTTCTCAATGGCCATTGGGAATCGGAAAACTTTGGATTTTCCAGGAATAAATGACTCTCTTTCCATCCTTTACTGACAATCATGGACTGTGGTGTTCTTGAAGAGTACAAATGAATTCTGCACATTTAATTGAGGGGAAGACAAATTTTAGATGCCTAAAGAGAATCCAAGCTATGCACTGGTGGCTTTTACAGTTATTACATGTTCATATCAGTAGACATCAAATATATCTAATGTTTGAAGCTGTAAGCAGTTATAATAGAGTCTGTTTCTCTTTTATGTGACTTATAAGGCAGATCCTAGAAGTGGATTGCTAAGTAAGTAATACTTGACCAAGTTTTTTTTTTCCTTTTTACCCAGTTAAATGAAGCTGGGCAAATTTCTTTTTATTTTTCTAGTTTGACCATTCAGGAGTTCTGAATCGTTTATATAACACTCAGGGGTGAAATCTACTTACCTTTGCTACCAGTTCACAAATGTGAGTACATGCACCACCTTCGTGCATGCACAGACCATCAAAATGGATTTGATGATGTCCGGGCAGGTGGGTGGAGCCTGCTACCAAGCACGCCTAGAACAGCGAGGGGGGAATCCACTGTGCCACGCGATTTAAATTACCTAGACACCAGAAAATTCTGCTTTCTAGCTAATATAAATTGTGCATCACAGCTGATTGTTGGAAATACCTGTTCACACAAACTCGTAGCATTTTTTACTACTGGTTCAGATGAACCAGTCCGAACCGGTAGCATTTCACCCCTGATAACATTCCGTCCTTCATTTTTTGTGCAATAATCTTGGGAAGAATCTTGAACGGAGAGGAACTCATTGTATGTAATCACCCAGTGATTACATGATGCAGGACAACATGTTTTCCCCCCAAAACATTTGCTTCCTGAGACACTTTTGATTGTTATGATAGATCTCTTCAAAATGTACATAAATAATATTTTAGAATGACTCTATCACTTAGGAATCTTGAAAAATATAACATTAACTTTTAATGAGAATGTATTTAATCACACTTTTCCAACACACTACA